CATCTGTTCTTCAGGTGTGCCGCATCGACACTGACCGATCCCGTCAATAAATTACCTTGTATTTACTCTCGTTTTTGTCGGGTTATTCTGTTTTCTTCGTCGCAAAAGAAGGAGCGAAGAAAGCCGCGGAATCATAAACGTTTAGGACAGACACCGAACATATGTAAAATAAATTACCGAAAATTATAAGACTAAGCAGCGACAAAAAAGCGCCTTGTCCGCTTGGGCCTTCTTATTTCAACTCATCCCTATAAATCTCACTCTCGCCAATGACCGCGGGCATACGCAAGGTCTGCGTATCGTCGCCGGACACCACTATACTACTCCGAGGGATGAGTCCCTGGAGGTAGTTAGACCCCACGGGAAACCGATGGTTTTACCAGAGGTTTCCGGGTATTATCGGGTCGTAAAACAAACAGATAGGGCCAGCACAGAGGCTCCCCTAGGCTGACAGGCTGGGGAGAGAGAGACAAAATTGAACAACAGGAAAATGACGAGAAAGTGGAAGATAGAACGGGGGAAGAAGGGGAAACGGGGGCGTGAACCATGTTGCATCAACCAGGCACCAGAACCAGAGCAAGATTTGGACTCAAACGAGCAAGTCACTCTTCAGTTGCTGCTAGCCACGCGAAAGTCTGTTTGTCAATTTGATTTTAAATAAATACAAGTCTGTATAAATATCGAGTTTAACAAATCATTATTATTTATCATACTCACCCTAACATTATTCATAGTAAGAATTCAATGCAACCTCGTAATAATAATATAATTCACTTAATTTCTCAGAAGCATGAAAGCTTAGACGAAAATATAGGTGACATAAGCAAAAATCTAATACGTAAAACATTATCCGTAAATAAAATAGAAATTTTAAATTTCGTAAAGCGAAAAATATTTGTTTTGTGCTTGGATACTATTGTATCAGTGAGAATTATAAAAGAAACTTTAACCGAGTTCATAATGAATTTAAAAAATCTTCTACTAGAAAATATTAACAAATATTAAGCGGGAATAGAATAGACAATTTTTTGTATGAGTTCTTGATATTTGTAATACTTAGTCATGTTTTTCGTCAATCCAAAACGTAATTATATATATATATATACAATTAAATTTTGTCTGTAAATTAGGCTACTTAATATTATGACTGAAGAATAATGATGGTTATTATGACAAACAACGAATTAGGAAATGACTTCCCGAGCTAGGATGAAGTAGTAAATGAAATGTACGATAATAAACATTTTCATGCTGGCATAGTTACTCATGTTTTGGTAGTCGCAAAATTCAAATTTCAGGTTAGATTCTCGCTTTACTGAACGGTGAATCTAATATGGCGGCTGCGGTAACAGAAAATTTGTTTGCTCGTTCAGAGTTTGTGAGTAGTTGTTATGCATTTTTGGTAGTTACTGAATTTTAAATGTCGAATTAAAATCTGGAAAAAATGCTGGTCGACTTAGTGGGGGGTGAGAGAGGGTAAATTGAATTAATTAATTAATTAGCGACGAAGTAGGATATAAAATGAGAGCGCTGTTACTTTTCTAATTTGCATATTGACCAATGACGAAATATTCGAAGAGTGCTACCGATATCCGAATGAGCATATCGGCCAATAATACGATTTCTTCTCGGAAAGAGGAGAAGTAAAAGGATCTTTGACTGCGAAGAGCCGTTTCTCGTCCATTTTGTCGCTGATCGCTAATGCTGATAGAAGCGATTCCCGAATTAGCTGAAACCATCAAGGGACTTTGTGTTTCGCCGAGTGAGTCTTCAGCTGTAATCTGTAAGTAAGCAAAGTGTCACTCACTAGTGATAGTTGCAGAGTACTGTGCATGATTTTTCGTGTCAATAATCTCATCGTGACGCGTGGATCCGTCGACGCCAAAAATATAGTGTTCCGATCGAGTCGCACTGACCAACCGTCATTTATCGAACTAGCTTAATTAATTAGTGTAAGAAGTGTGGAAGATTTAGATATCGAATCGCCGTCACGAATTGGGGATCGAGCGTATAGTTCGTCCTATGTATGATTCGCCGAGACGCATGGATCCATTTCCGTAACGTATTAAATCGCGTCGAGCCAAGCTGACCATCCATCATTTTGACTGAATCTGTAGCATAGCCACCGAATAAAGGAAAGTGAAATCTAACCGATTTTTATTATTTACGCCTCGTTGATCATTCCCTCCCTGCATGCTGATTTTATTTTCAATCGCGGAAGGTCTGTAGTGAGGATTCTTTTTTTTATCATTACTGGTTCCGAACGTTAGGTGACCTACGCGCTAGATCGAACTAATCTCCGACCAGAGACGAGGAGTCGTATCCTGATCTGCCGGCACTTCCAGGACGCGAGAGGACGGAGGAGATCAACGATTGGTTGGTACCATCGGCCTGAGGAAAGAATATCGCCGTGAGGTCACCAACCCGCCCACCCTGCGCAGTCGCACAGTGGGCAAATAGACCTACGCTACGATTTTCCGATCCTACCCCCGACGATTGCCGTAAATTAGGAACGGCGGTCTGGCACCCTTATTATTAGTCGAGGGAAAACGGTTGAATCAGGCCTTGTGGCGGAAGTACTGTGGTGGAAGTAAGTGCGCGGCTGAGACCTCCCGAAATTCCCCGCCACAATGATTGTGTTAGGGTAAGAATTAAATTTCATGACTATATAAGGAGCGTGACGACTCTCTACTTATAGATATATATATGCCAATGTTTATTGTTTAATTAAAATGTGTTAACGATAGTAATTTTAATAAACTAAAGTATTTTTTAAGTTAATTTGTGTGCGTAGATTACAATTATCATGTTTTTAAATGTTTTAAACTCTTAAATATTATTGAATTTTTATGTGTAAACTTCATTTATTTATAATTTTATAAATATTAATTATTGTAGTAAGACGGATACTCTGAGCTCCAGATGACAATCTTAGGAACATGAGTAAAAATTCGTTTCCTTGATAGCAACTCAGTTACGACTGTTATCAATAAATAAAAAATTAATAATTGATTTCAATAAATAATAAGAATATGAATGAAAAGCGTTAATTCTGTAAATACGGAAAAAATTATTAGAATTGATTAAAAATAAATGATAAGCCAATTTTATATTTACATTCTAAAACATGGTCAAAAACGGAAATTAATTATTATTCAAATATTACTATGCTTTAAAGTTCTTTTTACAGAAGAAGCTGATTACCTCAACACTTATTTCAACCTATAATGTCCATATATCATAGAATTTCAAACGTAATCCTCCTAATTCTCTCTTACATCCAGCTCGTCGCACTGAGGTGTAAAACCAATCGCTTGCCATAATTGGAGTTAAACTAATGAACTGTCTATCAGTAATTAATTTCAATTTTTATTGCTTTGATGAATTTTTTGGCTGAGAATTATACTTATTACCCTTAAAATACAAGCATGGAGAACTACGGTTGGGTTATTTTCGATAATATCATTCCCATTGCTGCTATATATAACCTCCTTTCCCTTATACTTTTCATCCATGTGGCTTAGTTCTCAATTTCAAATATTTACTTTTCAATACCTTATTGTTATCTTAATTATGACCTTTTATACTCTATCTTCCTAACATCACATCCAACAGCTAAACTGTAAAACAATAACATATAAAACTATTAAATGTTTAGCTGGCATTATTTAATTTAATATATCTCTATTAACTCATTCCCCATATTATTATTATGTTATTATAATCTATTAGTTGTTCAATTATTATCTATTACACTTACTATTACTCTAATTTTAATTATTCATAATTATTTTTCTCTATTATAGATGGTTGATGGAAGCAAATCTAAAACGATACAAGAATAAGTTATAAATAATGGATCACTTCTGTATAACTCTGTTGTATTTCTAACAAACTAAATGGGGTCCTACCCCATGATGAAATAAAGCTAACTCAAATCAGTTCAACTCTCTCACTCTCTCCCTCTCTCTCTCTCTCCCTCTCGCTCGCTCTCTCTCTTTCTGTTTTTCTCTCTTGCAAAACAAAATTAATAATCTATTCATAATACGCCAGGTATAATGTTTCTCGAATTGTTCAACGTCCGTGATTGATTATTAAGAGAATGACTGGACTAAAACATCTTCTTTTTTGAATTTGAACTAGTCTAAATATAAGTAACGCATATGAAAAAAAGCAGATGGATATAATTGAAGTTTTGTTTGCGATTTTTCCGAGTATATATAATTTTTTTTTTTTTGAACGACTATTTTAATTTTTTATTTTTCTAAATATGTATAATTTTCTATTCTTTAGAGCAACGAGGAAGGAAATTTGGAATCAGCATAATAAAGTTCTAAGTATATCCAAAATTTTAGCGAATATTCGAAGATTACTTATTTGGGGATAACTTTTAGACTATTGGTGTTTTTTCCGATTAAACGTTAATTGATAACTCATTTTAAATTTACTTACCTATAAATAACTTACGATAATTAGAATCTTGCTTATCCATATTAGAATAATATTCAAACTATGTAAGCTGTCTTAACGGTTACGTTCAGATTACAAATAATCTCTGTACCAATTTTGGAAATTTTAATGTGGTATAAAACGGTCTATATACCAACTTGAACCATACTTGATCTAAAATTGCTTTTACGTAGTTTGGCTAAATGTAATGTCGAACTCACACTCGCGTATACGCACACATATAGATGCATACACATCTTTTGTTGAATAATGTTAAAACGACATTATTTAGTTGAAAAGTTATTTTTTATTATGAGATAGTAGTTTTTTAATATTATAATAAAAATAGTCTGTAACTATGGAAAAATAAGGTATTTAACCAAATGACTACAGTTTCTGGCATATTCATATAAAAAGATTTGCCGAAAAAACAAGTAAATTCGGGAAGCAAAATTGTTATTTTATATCAGTGAAATATTTTTCATTTTCTTATAAAAAGATAACAATATAAAAAATCTATAATAGATAGTATATGTACTATATAAGTATACCTGAACGTATCCAGAAGCTGGATGCCTAATAGCCCAAATATACAATATTCTTTCAAAAATTATCTGAACAGTAGTTTGTTGAAAAAGCGATATCAATGGTGACATTCTAGGAATGTCTATATGAATTTGTCGATATGTATCTTGAAACCCTTCATCTCTTTCAGTATCATAATACTGCTTTACTAAATTCCAATAATCCAGACGTTTTCTCTCTAAAACTTGTTGCCTTCGTTCCAAGTTAGCTGGAAGGTATTCCTGGTATTGATAAAAAGTATAAATAAGATATATTACATATTTGCTAAAATCATTATATACATCATCGGTAATAAGCATTTTTAGACATGTTGTTTTATGCCTGGGCGTTAAAATCAAATATTCATCTATGTGTCTGATTAGATCAGTTATTATGCTTATGACTGATTAACTGGGTACTATCAAACAGAAATATTGCTATTTCGTCCAACTGGAAACTCTTGTTTGCAAACATAAAATGAACAGATAATTAAATAAATATAATATCTATGAATAGATTGAAGGAATCTAATAATTATAAAATAAGAAAAGTGATAGAGTTAACCCTGAAATAAATAAACACATTACACAATCTTATTAATGATGATGTACGTTTCACCAGTACATAAGACATCTCACTACATTCACTTATATTGCACTGAAGCATACCGAGATATCTTATAATGTAGGTATAATAATTTATGTTTGTTTCAGTCGAGAAAATTATTCTCTTAATATCATGACTACCAAAAATTAATTTTTAAGATTGTTGATCTTAAGAAACCGTAAATAACCGACAAAACATACGTCATAATTAATGATGTGATGTATTTATTCATTTATTATTAGGTTAATTCTATTACCTTTATTGTTGAATGTTTTTACTTAACATAGAAAGTACAAGAAGAATTTATAATTGAATATAATATAATATGATATTAAAATTTTAGTTAGATTTTTTCGTTACATATCACATGTAAATTACTCATTGTAACAAGTTACAGACGAATAGCATCGTTAATTGCACATTATATATACAATTGCAACGGCTTTGAAATAAGAACAACTGTTGGTTTCGTATCAGTTAACTACTGCTTTAAAAGTAAATTTTTTGTAATCTTGACTGGCACCTAATGCTTTATTCAATGTTACAACTCTTAAGCTAAAAAAAATCTTAACGAATATCTTTAATTGTATAAACATCGATATTTGATTTTTGTAATTTCGTATAAAAATACAAGCTTGTGATGTTCGTATCACTTATAAATAATAATTCGAACTCTCGTATCTAGCTAATGAGTAAGAATCTGTTTTTAATAAAGTTACTCTACTTGTTGAGAAAATAAATAGATAAATCAAATAGACTCTACTAATAATAACAAATTAAAAAATCAAATATATAATGAACATGTATAATGTTTGAAGGAAAATCAGACTATGCCCTAGTTTCTTATGGTGCGAATTGTCCCATAAGCAGGGCTAAAGTCTTTCTTGGATAGAATATAATTCGGCCCAAGTTTCTTATAACGTGAGATGTTCTATATTGAGCTCGAATTATAGGAAAAGAAATGTCTTGCTCAGTTAATTACAAGAGGGAATGAACTTAAGTATTAGCCAAGGTTATTCATACTCATGCGCTCACTTTGCAAGGGTAGAAGTCAATGCCAGCCTGTGCAATAGTGGGCGTATTTATACACAAATTTTCCCGCCTATTTTCGCAGGAGCGTTTTCTTCGAGAAGTTTTCGAATATTCGAGAAACATCCGCAAATTTTGAGAAATGAATTTTCTTAATTTACAAGTAAATAAACATTAATAATGAGCTTTTAATACATTTGAACTTTACTGAATTCGTTAATTGTTGATTTAATACAATATACTATTATTGCAATTAGCGTCGTCAAAAGTTATTAACTAATAAAGTCAATTAACGCAATATTACAATATTTACAATAGGAAATTATTAACTTTTTATATAACTTTATAGTTGACTAATTTCAGAGGTATTTTCTAAAAAGAAATATTTAAATTAGTTTATAACATTTGAATTATAACAAATTTTTATATTTGTGACGGTTTTTTCTATAATCTTATAACGCAATTATTAGATTAATTATCTAAGATTCATAAACCATATAGCTATCATTATTAAGTTGTAACGGGGTAAAACCGTTTAAATATATTTTATGCGCGCAATTACACTAAAAGGACGCGCGCAGTTAATTATGCTCAGTACGTAAATCGGAGAGCATGCAAAGACAGGCGCCAGTCAACCAGTAAGTTCTCTTATCGAAGGAAAGTGAGTGGAAGCTATAAGATATAAGAGAATCAAAAGAAAACACTTGTTAGTAATATGAACTAGATCTTTTATTATCCCTTATAATCTACAGAAGGTCGGCCCGCGCGTTTGTTTACGTTGACGCTCGCTCATCGACAACACGCTTTGCTGGTGTGCTCGCTGCTCTTTGTTATTAGAGCCGCTATTACATGCACGCTTCGAAAATAATAATTTATTTGTTAATCGGGTAACCGCGCTCGCGAGATTAAGCTGGCCAGCTTACCTTATATTTGCAGGTGATCAGAGAAAACGAAGAGCAGTCACACTGCACGAAACTGTTTATAATTGTCTTTGTTGCCGGTCGCGAACGCGCGCACGCGGTTATGGTTTCGCCCTCGATGGCGAAACCTCACACTCTCTTTCGATGGCTCGTGCTCCCTTTCTTCTGCAGACGAGTGGCTCCCCGTGAACAGCGGTCACAACTAGCTGACACTTATCGTTCTCGTCGAGTTTCGGTATTTTGCGGCACGTAGATCGGTAGGTCAAAATGAAGGCGGACGGACACTATGATGGTCTAAGCTTCACTGGTTCGAATTCTATCGCGCGCATTCCGTCTGCTCGCGTGCCGAATTACCTAGTTACGAATTTCGTCCCCCCGGCAGGTGCTGCCCTCACAGGCAGCAATTAAGCTAAATAATCAGCGCTAATTTGACGTTTACCGTCACAAAGTATAAAATTAATGCTTTCGTTCTATATATAACTTATTGTTTAAATAAATTATTAATTATTTATTTATTAATAACAGTTATTATTCAGCTGTTATTAATGAAACTAATTCTTACTCATGTTCTTTACTTATTCATTTTGCATATGAATTATTTACATTTTTCTAATAATTTATATTTTTAGCGTAATAAATAAATTAATTTTGCATATTGAAATTCATTATTAATCAATAATTAAACACAATTTTTATGATTATATTCTGAATCTACGTACTAAAATCTATATAATAAATGCTTTGTTATATCAAAATTATCTCTAATTAACATATTTTTCTTAATAACAAAAATCATTATATCTATATCTATTACTTTGTGACGTCACGCTCTTTATTTTGATTATGAAATTCGACTCTTGTACTAATACACAATCGAGTAAACAGAGAAGTGGCGCCGCTTAATGTACTGATTTGAATAAACAGATAGATTCGTTCGACTGGTTGAGGTAATTCAGTAATCTAATAAATAGCTCATAGATAGGACAGTTACAAGCTCTTGCCACTTTTGATATCTATTTCAAAAAATTCTTTTCAAATTTCAGTTATCACACGAAAACTAGAGTTCAAATTTAAGGAGTTTCGATCCACTGTAAGAACTAAAAGAGAAATGCTGTGAAAGACTAACCTATGATCGTACATGATAACGTGATTTTCATTCCTAATGAAAATTAGTTCATATTTATTCAGATAATGATATATATAAACTGCTGAATTTTTTTCTCGATTGTTTATGTATTAAATAAAATATTCTTAACGTTATTGAGTTGTATTTTGTTCTACATAAACACGATCGACTGTGTTTGATTCCACTTATAAACGCGAAATTAAATGCTAAAGATGTGGTGAGTTGTCAGAGTTATTGAAGAGACGACTGGCTGTTTTCGAATAAGTTTTGTAGCTGTAGCAAACGCATATAAATTGAAATTTCAATTACAAATATGAAGCGCAAGTTTTGAAATTTGAAAGATATTATTAGAATATCACTTCTCATCTTTTTTAAATACAAATAAAAAATTATTCTGGTCATACAAGCTCATCTTAAAAATTGTTCAACAACAAAGGAATGAATCACTGTCACTCATCTTGTTCGCTTAGTTTGCAAGATTAAGAAATGAGACATTAACAATTATGAAGCAATTTTAACAATTTTAACAATTACTCATAAATTCGTATAACCGAAATAAATTTTGATTTGTTCTGGTAATTCTCAGATTCTATCTTACATTGTAGGTCCAGTCATGATACGTATAAATCTTTCTCCTCCTGTATTATTTAAAAAATTGGTGGAATAGGTGAGTCTCACAAATATTAAAAGCGAAACCCGTGAAGGACTTTTCTGTCTTTTAAAAGTTGCTTGTTTAAAATGTGGTGTACAAAATGTAGTGCACACTGGTAAAAATTAAGATAAACAATGCAATATACTTAAATGGAATCTATGAGCTGTTTTAGGTATGTTGATTACTTACATACATTATAACTACAGTTAATTTATATAATGAGTTATTCTAAATTCATGTTATTTTATGTTTAGACACAATTTACTCTGGTATGGGTTGTACTGAATTGAACAAACTATTGATCTGCTTGAATTGGACAGGTGTTTCTATGAATTTGTATAAACGATACGAGGCTGTTGTTGGACCTGCAATTGAGAAAGCTGCGAAAGAGCGTTATAAAAAAGCTGCTAAAGAAGAGAGAAAGTTAATCATAGAGAATTTAGAAAAATTATGTGAAAGTTTGTAAGTTCACCCGATATGAATTATCAGTAGAATCGTGTTATACCAGTTACATGAGTGATTAATTTATGACATATCGTTTATTGCAGCAATTGTATTATAATCAATTTCATTTTCATTATTGTCTGATTTTTTTTCATGTTTTTTTGCTTGAACTATTGTATACGTTGTTATTAAACTCGATACGTGTAATTGTATACTATAGAAAAAGATACATGTATGAATGTCCTATATTTCGTGAGTATCCTATAGCATAAATAAGTACATGAAGTTATACCTACATGTAATTGTGATCAATAATTGTATACACGTCTAATTTACAAACTTTTTACTTAACATGAACGACATATGTGCAATATACTATATACATGAAAAATTCTTTTTTTCAGTTTTAACTCTATAATTGTAAAGAAATGCAAAGTCTTACAAGTGTGCCTAATTGAAATACAA